CCCCTGCCTACAGGCTGCGCCCACCGGCTGCTTCTCCTCTAACGAATTTTCGCTGGTTTTTATGCTCGAAAGCTGCGTCATCATAGGAGTGTTCTACTACCACTTCCGCATCAAACGAACTGACAAAATTCCGGAGGTTGGAATTTCCGAGACGCAGTCGTAAAACGCTGTCGTCCTCCTAACTGGCTTGCGGCAAGGGTCAACGCGTCACGTTTGAAACATTTTCGGGATTTTTGCGACCCCCTCGCTCGCGAAGGGAGGGTCCAGGTTGCGACCCCCTGTTTTTGTTAATAAGAGTGCTAGACATGAATCCGTTGCGCCAGAAAGCGTCTGCGCCGCCGCAGACAGCGTCTGCGTTGCGGCGTCAGCCTTGGAGCGCGGCAGGTATCACCCGGGCGCTGGAAGAACGGGACGCGGCGAAGAAAAAATTTTAGAGGGAATAACTTTCTTGGGACGTATTTTTTTGACTTGTTGAGGTAGATTTTGATTGTGCCTGAGGTGCGCTTCCAGAAAACTACAAGGATTGCCTAACTCTCCGGAAAGTACTTCTGTTAGAAGTGGAAAACCCAAAATTCTAGAAGGCGCTCCTACACTTTCGCTCAACTTTTGCAAGGCCCATTCAAATGCTTTCAGACTCCGCCATCTTCGTATGCGACATTTTGGAAATCTGTAAAACGTTTCAGAAACTTCAAATATTTTCTAATCAAAACAGTATCAAAAGTTTAGTGATTGTCCCTTTTCAAAAAATTGTCCCGTTCGAACATTTTTCGTGCAAAAGCGAGTTTTTGGGCTTTCAGCGACCATAACTCACTTCATTTTCCATTTCTGTGATGCACTTTTCTCATGGGGTGAAAGTACAGGATTTGCTCTTTTCAAGGGGAAATTAAGAAAAGGGGCGCCGCGCGCCAGAGTGCGGGTGCGCGATTGCACAAGAACCTTTTCGAGAAATCACGACGTTTCGACACATTTTGGGGGGTTTTGCCGACCACTTTCTTTGAAATCCGCAGGACAGAAGTTAGTGTTTTGCGTGTCTTTAAGCGGGCATAACCTCACTTCAATTTTTAGTTCCACGAAAACCACAACAGTTTATTTCATGTTGTAGAGAGGAGTACAACGGGAATTTGCTCGTTCCGGGCAAACAGGCACCAGCACCGGCTCCAAATCGTTTTTCAAATCCATTTTCCGAGAAAATCACACGTTCGAACATTTTGTTCCCATAGGTTTTTGAGCAGCACATGCGAGTTTTTGAGCTTTCAGCAATAATAACTTCCTTCAAAGAACTTGTTGGGGAGGGGCGAAGACATTTTTGAAGACTACGAGATTTCTGCTTTCCTTATGTGTTTTACCGTTGTCTGGAAAGAAAATCGTCCTCAGAAAAATTATGGAATCTACCGAAGAAAACCTTTAATTTCAGCCTCCTGAGAGTCGCATCAGTCAAACCTTATTTATAGGCCGTATGCATCTTCAATTGGTTTCGTTAATTCCTCAAGGAAACAACCGTAAATTTGGCCTAGAGAGAGCGATCTCTGCTCACTGCGCAATCAAAATAAAATCCGAATCTAATGCGGTCCTGCAACCAAACATTGTCTTGCCTACTCGGACATCGCACGCACCACGCGCCTACCTGGCTTGGGCAGTAACTCGAAATTGCGACCCACACACTTCCCCGACCAAAACCTGCGGACGCCTTGCGTTGTGAGTTCGAACACGACGGTTGACCGCTGCTTGCGGACCGATAAAATCTCCATCCGATCATATCGATTTTTCTTGTGTTTCACCGCTCTTTCTGCAATTAATTGAGAAGGAAATTATAGAACCATTAAGCACCAACTACAAAGAGTGTGTATACTCGGCAAGCTACCTTTCCGGGAGTCTGTGCACCACGCCCCGCACGTGCCACTTGTGGAGGCAGGGTCAACCCTGCGTTGCGCAAAGAACAACGAGGGGGTCGTATTCAGCCGACCGAAAAGGGAGGGGGTCGTATCCACAAACGGGCTGCAAGACGGCTTGAAAAGTGCAGTGTCCGGGAGTGCACTTTCAGCCTCTAATGTTCTCCAGGAGCTATGCACGCTGTCGGAGAGTCACACAGACATGAGCTCCATGGGAGCATTAAAGCATGCAGAGCACAAGCAATAAGTCTCACCATCAGCTTATTATTCTTAATCGACGCTATCCGGACGGCGCTTTTGCTCCGCGGCGGCGCACGATAAATATAGGATTATTCAAGAGTACAATAGACAATAGCCAAAAACTTTGTTACAGTGTAGTGCAAAAACATGGTCTGTCTTCGATGATGAAACATTCCTGAAATCCCGAGGAGAACAAAGTGTAGAGCAGTTCATGGGAAAGTGAAACAAGAGTGCCATATAACAGCACAATACAACTCAATCAGGATACTAACACCTTCTTCAGGAAAACAGAAGACTTTCAAATGCGAGTGCGAACTCTGCCCACAGATAGGTGCACGGCGTATACCCGAGGCGTTTTCCCATAAAAACGCCTCCTCTGTCAGCGGCCGTAAGCAGACAAACTTTCTGAAGAGAGTTTCGATGCTTTCAAATAAAATCTAACGAAACGAAAGAGAAAGTGTAGCGCGAATTTTAGCTGCGATGAGTCTATGCAGAACGCCCGCTAACGAAGTTATACGATTGAGGAGAGAAGAAGGAATTTCAGGGAAATTTCACAGTTGTTATGAAGTACTCTTCGAGTGGATTCCAACAATCTTTACCGCTTCTCATCACATTAATTTCAAAGGAAGTTATGGGCCTTTAAAGACTGCATAGTCGCGGTCCAGGAAAAAGGCTTGAAAAAAATCAAGGTGGAATTGACGGAACAACGGGACTATTTTTTGAGCGAGTGATTATTTCAAGAAGTTTTAGCACTTATTCGAAAGCTCTAATCCTCTAGTTTCTAATTAGCCTTAGACATCTGCAAAATGTTGAGTATGAAGAAAGTTATTAACGTTTGAATGTCGAAAACTCGCGCCTTCTCAAAAATCGGACCCCAAACCACCCAAGAAACGGAACAACGGGACTATTTTTTGAAAAAATGATCGCTGGAAAATTTTCAGGTGCTTGTTCGAAAGCTCTAATCTTCTAGTTTCTAATTAGCCTTAGACATTTGCAAAAAGTTGATTATGAAGAAAGTTATGAATGTTTGAATGTCAAAAACTCGCGTGTGCACAGAAAACGGAACAACGGGACGATTTTTTGAAATACTGAACATCCACAACATTTCAAATACTCCTCAGAAAGAAAAGAAAACTATTTATATTTAGTATTTTTAAAATTGTGGTGTACCCGATTTTGACCGCACTGTGATAATGAATATATAAGCTTCTGAGATGAGGGGTTTGGATTGCAATGTAATTGCTACAAGGTTTAGTTTTTCAGATTATAAGGTAAGGAAAGTTGAGAGATCGAAAAAATCCTGGTGGGTTTCTGAAAGTAGAAATCTTTACGATTAAAATGATGTATTGGTTTACGCAAAAATTTGAAAATTCCTTCTATTTAATGAATAAAACTTCATTTGCCTCGATTCCCTCCTCTGAGCGAGACAAAGCGCGCGGATTGACCACGGTCCACCACTTCTCCATGTTGTGTGACTGCCATCATTGATGAGCATTGATGAGCATTAAATTATGTGAAAGACATGATAGTTAATATGGGGGGTCGTACCGATACCCCCGAAAAGGAAGGGGGTCGTAAAAATTTGGGAATTTGCGCAACGCAGGGTTGACCCTGCTGCCTTTGCGAGAAACGAACTGACTGTAATCAACTTAATCATACAGTTCACAGCTCAGTCTTAGAGCTCTGATACTCAATCATCTGAAACAGAGAGAAAATTTACGCAAAGTTTCCTAGTTGTGCTATTACTCTCTTGCAGCCATAAATAAGCGAGCCCGTGGCTCACCAAGTCTTCAAATAATAGACCCAAACTGTGGTAGTGTCTTTCTGACGCGACGTAAGTGGACATTGCATGTGTACGCACTAGAAGTAAGATATAACTTACTCATGGATGAACTTGCTGTAGGTATCCTGACGACTAATTGGTTAGTATAGGATTGAGTTCTATTGCGCACAGTGCAAGCCATCACACATGAGACCCTACTTGTCTCATATTTCTTCGTGGAAGCATGTGGAGTAGATTGCGTCTTGAGCGTGACGAATGGGACACACAATAGAGATAGTTAGATCAAACAGTCGTCAGAGAGAGGGTTTACAAGACGTGGGTCTAGATATCAGGTGCAAAGTGCATCTGATATGCATTACGTACCTTTCAAATATGCATCAATATGTCAGCCTTCACTACAGCACCCCGAACAGTCTCTGGGTTTCGTTTAGAAGATCGAGAGAGATCCCTTACCTCCTGGCCCAGAGATCCCTGCGGCAGTCATAATTGGTGAGCGTGCGAGAGAAGCGCGCAAACGAAACTGCTCCTGGCGAAGTTCCTTTATTGTTTTCAATTTTATACAGAAGTTCAATCAACCTACTGTGTAACTCCGAATGCCGCAAATCCCATCTTTTGGACAGGCTCCTCTCTCATATGTTTTCCTTACAAAGTATAAAGTTAACCGTTGGGTACCACCCGCTACCGATTGTTGGGACTATAACAGGTGGTTTCCCTTTGAATTATGTTTTGTACACCTACATACTAGCGCGTCGCGAGCTGGACGTAATGAAAATAAAGTGAGAATATAATAAATAAATAGATAAATAAGCCTCGCCTGGCAACAATCGTCGTGAACTTGCGCCTTTCTACGACAACGAACATTGTTTAGCGTTCGCTTTATATAATGCAATGGATAAAGAGTTTGCAAGGCAGCATTTATTATGAATAAAAGAGAACTCTGATCCGACAAGTAATTCGTGCACCGGGAAAAACGGTGAACACAATGATTAATTAGTTGATCTAAATCACGCGTATCAATATTATAATGTACATCGTACATAAATCTAAAACTACTGGATTCTAGCGGTACTCTTGTCGCCAGGATGAGCTTAGGGAGCTGGAGAGAGTGCTTCAACTCCAGGCAAAACCTTCCCTGAAAATGACGGGGTTAAGATAATCCCAACAAAAGCATGAACAGCGAGAAGAAATATATTCAAGACCCACCTTCAAGAAGTTCAAGACTGGCACCTCCTCCCGTTGACACATGGCTGACTTTGTCCTCGGTTTTGAACTTCTTGCAGCAAGTCGCGGTATCACCACCACCTGCGTTTAAAGTCTTTTTCCGAGGAAAAATAATTCAGAACACTTGTAAGTATGAAACCAAACAACCCCATACTCGTATTCAACAAAACGAGCACTTTCAGCTTACCAATGATTGTGATGGCGCCATTTGCAGTAGCTTTAACGACAGCATCCATGAGAGCCTTAGTACCATGGGAGAACTTCTCGAACTCAAACACGCCAGGAGGACCGTTCCAGACTACGGTCTTCGCTCTGGCGACGGCTGCCGCGAATAACTCCTCGGACTTTGGACCAATGTCCAGACCCATGTGACCTGAAAGCGAGCTCAATTTCCTCAACGAGAACTTATGCCTATGAAGAATCCAGACTAATGAACTTTGAGGAATTGTCGCTTTCGTAAAGCGAAAAAGTTTAGGTAGGTTATCATTCAATACTGCTGTATACAGGTCAAAAAATTGCATGGTCTGACCCACCAGCAGGAACTCCTTCAGCGAGAGTGACAGTCTTAGCCGTAGCGTCTTCTGCAAACTTGTCACCGCACACGAAGTCTACGGGTAGATGGATTTGGACGTTCTTTTCCTTAGCTTTGGCCAACAAGTCTTTCACGATCTTCGCACCCTTCAATGGATTGAAAAATGCTTGTGGTAAAAGTAACGCATACATGGCTCATAAGGGCAACACTCAAAAAGGAGATTCGACTTTACCTCTTCATCAAACAATGATTTTCCTATCTCCACATTCTGATCAACTTTGAGGAATGTGAACGCCATGCCACCACCAATAATCATCTCGTTCACCTGAACAACTGCCAACTTTTTTATGGAAGTAAATACTCATCACTATGATCTAACCTTATCTAACATATTCTTGATAAGCTGAATCTTGTCGGCTACTTTCGCACCACCCAGAATCGCTAAAAACGGTCTTGCTGGGTCAGAGAGAGCCTGAAATGATAGATTATGCCTGTTAGGAAATTCATAGGAACAGGATGATAACGTTGTCACCTTTCCAAAGTAAACCAACTCGTTCTTCATCAAGAAACCGCAAGCACGTGTGTCCAGCTTCACACCCACCATTGAGCTGCAAAACAGAACTTGGTAATGCTTATGAGATGCAAAATTTAGCTAATGACTGTAGAAATGAGTACCTGTGTGCCCTGTGGGCGGTACCAAATGCATCATTTACGTAAATATCGCCGAGTTTCGTCAACGATGCTCGGAATTTCTCGACGGCTTCAGGAGACGCTTTGAGCTTTAAAAAACCGCTAGAATAATACTTCGAGGGATGCACCTGAACTCGACACTACAAACCTTTTCGCCCTTTTCGTTTGTGCATTTGCCTTCTTCCTCAATATAGAAACGCAAATTTTCCAGAAGGATAACAGATCCTGGAGCCGGATCAGCACAAGCTGCCTCTACTTCTGGACCAACACAATCTGTTAGGAATTTCACATCTCTGAAAATGAGCCACTGCAGACCTATTTTGGGAGACGATTAAATTAAAAACTCACTTTCCAAGGACCTTCTTGAGTTCCTCAGCAACAGGAGCCAAGGTGAACTTCGGATTCTTCTTACCATCGGGTCGTCCAAGATGCGACATTAGAACGACTGATTTGCAATCATGGTCCAAGCAATACTAAATCATTTTTTGACTTCGAAAAATCTGAGTAGCAATTAATATATATTCATTCATGATATGTACTAGAACAAATCCTAAACGTCAATGAAAAAAGGAGCACTTTCTAACTGCAGATTTCAAAGAAGATTATTGGTGGAGATGGTGAAATGGATTTAACCAGGATACAGCTCACGCACTTTAAACATTATCCAAAAAACTGAGAAGTCTGACTATAAAGCGAGATATAAACTGCTACTTTATCGTGCATTGATCATATAACTAGTATTACAGTACTGTCATCAAATCCACTTTGACGCTAAATCTCTCTTAAGCGCATTTGTCGGAATAATTAAAACGCTGAACAGCTGAAAATGCTCTCCTACACCAAATAAATTTGAAGAACATACCTTAATTGTTGGCAATGCCGCGACAATACGCTGATTGTTGGTGATTTTACCATCTTTTTGAGGTACATTGAAATCTACTCGAATCAACACCCGCTTTCCCTTCACATCAACCTAAAACATGCTCATTAGTAGCTAAAAGATGTGACTAGCAAGCATAGCACGGCAGCTACAGGCACCATAGCCCATTTAGCCCAAACACCCCTTCCAAAGCTGGAGCAGCTGCAAGCCCGTTGCCAACCTCTGAATGAGTGTGATCGCATGAAAATCACCACTAAGAAAATTTTGCACCTGCCATGCGTCCAATACAAAATGCGGAATTTGTTAAATATTCGATCACAGTTATACCTTATCAATGGAAAGCTTTCCAAGAGACATTCCTTTGACTGTGACGACGCGTACGCGATAACCAGGAGGATCCGGTTCTGTAAAACTGAACACTGTCGTTATGTCAATAATGATGCTTTTCATCTAGGACATGACAACTAACACAAAACAAAGATATCGATTCTGACATTGACCATTATATTAATCTGTAGAATATTCGAATCTATAAAGAGTAGAGGAGTATCGGTGTGACAAGTGAAATGAGCAGAAATTTAGGGTGCCATCTGATAAGATAATCTGCGGGCAATCTGAATCTAAGAAGAGAAGAACCAGTGAGACAAATCTAGTTAAGTAGGTAATCAGCGTAATTAGTAGAGCAGAGAAGTGCAGAATGTGAATCACCTTGCGAAAATAGCTGATTTAAGAGCCTTACAAAAAGTGCTAAGGACACTTGGGGAAGGACAATAAGCTGTTTTCCGACGAACAGCTGTGTTTTGATGGTGCAATGGGGTGTGCAAAATCTACAATAAAATTCACAGACTGCTGTTTGACGGCCACTATTAAAGAGAGAATGATACTTCTAACAGAATGGAATTTGAGCGAATTTTTCTACTGAACGCCCAGCGCAGCGGATGGTAAAACAATGGGTTTGAATGTTGTGCAAACAGGGGGACAACAAAGGATTTTCGAAAGAACATACAAGACTCAAATTAAGCCCCAGCGAGTTGAAGCAAAAAAGTAAATACTCTGAATGCAAGCACTAACAGGAAGTAGCCACGAGGTAGATCACATATTAACCCGTTCAAAGTTGCTCGAGAAGAGCGAGGATTCAGCACACGCTTCCTGACGATTCCCAATGGCACAACGAAACGTGCAGGGCAGTGATTCCCAATCGATAGACGGGGCTGCTTCAAAAATCTTGATATTGTCTTGGAAACCATGTATTTATATAGGATTACACGCAAAACGCCAATCAGCTCAAAAAGATTTACTTTATAGAAAAATTCTACCAGTAAGAACAACGTTTGAATATTTATAAACTTCTATATGGATATTAAGTTCAGTTAACGATTGAAAATTTCAGCTACAACCAAGCAGGACAAACATTCTATAGATTCAGGCCGACGCAAAGCATGAACTGCATTGAGATTGAGTGTTTTGGCGTGCAAAACCCTAGAACTACAAAAGAACTACAAAAGCACTAACTTCTATCTACAGATTTCACTTTGCAATCGAAAAGATTGAGCTCTTTGGATGTTGTAAACTGCGACTAAGCAAGAAATTCAATTCCGCCCAAGTTCGGCCATCTGTCCTAACCCGCTCACTTACCAATGAAATTTGGGTTCATGTTATTAAAGAGTATTTTGGTCAAAATACTCTCTTTTACAGCAGCTAACCTTTAAAAGAAATACAATAATACTAATCTACTTCCATTTGAGCGGAGAGGAATAGGTTCACCCACCCTGAAGCTCTTTTCACTCCCTTAACGGATAGACGACAGCATAAAGTGCATGCATGGTCAGACTTTCACAGGTGGAACTCAGGCTGGTTTTTGTTCAGTTTTATGTGGACATTTTTCATTTCAAAATGATTGCATACATTATCTTATCCGCGAAAAGCACACCAGCTACTAATAGCAATTATTGGAGGAGAAATGACCATTTAATAAAAAAATAAACAAAAAGACGAGGAGTTACCGCACAATGGGCTGTCATCAATGTGTTGATAGGAGTTACCGTAATCAGCACGAACTATTACACCAAATGCGCTACTTCAGGAACTGACTGAAATCTTGAGGTGTGGTTCACTAGGACAGAAAACGGCTTTTGTTTCGCAGCGCGAAGTTATTCTTAATAAATCCCATAACTGCTGCAGGAACCTCAGGTCCGCTGCTGATCATGATGGACCTAGAACCCGCAGCGAAAATTGATTGTTTCGCGACTGCGAAACGCGAAAAAGTCGTTCTCCGTCCTACTGAACCACACCCGAAAATCGTTAACACCTAACCCAGAAAAAACCCGTTTTGCCGCCTTCCAACCATGAAACCTCCTGTCGAGCAAGCAGTTCAGCACGCCGACAGCAAGTCCTTTACAAAGAGAGTTCCTTCGCATCTAGTGAAACCCCCTGTGACATAACCATGCGAGAAAATGAAGCATGCATACGCACAGTAGCATTCAAAATTTGAATTTTTATTTTGTTTTTGACCTATCGCAGCCTGCAACTAACATCATCACCTCAAATTCACATCCTATATGGGAAATTGTGCAACAACTGGAAAGTCTTCTTTTGGGCGCTCATAGTCCTTGGGGGGGGGGGGGGACATCGAAGTGAGTGGGCCTCTGATAAAACTTCAGGACTAAGCTTTAGGAGAGGGGAGAGGATTTCGTGAGCAACCATTGCTCTCTCCTGTATTTATTCCTAGTCCTGGGCTTAGCGCCAGTGTCACCTATCACCGGCTTTTGAATGCCCTGTTCTGAATGTCCCCCCTAAGGACATGAGCGCCCTTTTTTTCGGAAAACAGCGCGTTAAGGGTTTGGAAACTCCACAATTCCAGACTGAATTCAGCGCAATAGTCTCGAATCCACATGAGAAGTTACGAAGTTGATGAGTAAATGTATAATTCTACGATGGCATCAGGTTTTATTGAAATTGAGCCTAAATTGAAACACCACTTTCAGACTCTTAGGTGAAAGCCTACACTTTGTGAACTAAATCAAATTGTTCGTAGGGATTCTCTACTGAAATGTTGATTGTACGACATGAGAACTCTTCCTCTAAGATGTACAACCGAGTTATTTCGATCTTGACTCGATGTTGAAGAGACATAGGCTGGTGTCAGAGTCCATTACGCCGCATGGTATTTGTCGTATTCGCGCCGAATCGGCGAAAGTCGCAACCCCCATTGGAAACATTCGAAACACTGAATATGAAACAAAGAGTGAAACATGACAGTCGTCGTTCCAGCCATACCATAAGCAGAGAATGACGACGGTGATTGAAGAGCACTACTGTAAGGCCTGGTGCTTGATGTTGACCTGTTCGCGCGAACTCCGGCGCGAATACCTGCAAAACGCTGCGACATTGCGGACGCTGGCACCATCCATAGCGGCTTTTTTTTTCTAAATGTAGGCGGCGGCAATGAGAAGGTAAGCACCAGATGGTCATCGTCGTAATAGCAAGCGTGATTTTTCGACATCTTCTGACGAGCGGAGCGGAGCATTGTATTCTTCAGACAATCCTCATACTTAGTCGAGTCCACATTTTGCAGGAAATTCGGCGATTTGCTGCAACACTAGTAAATCGCCGGAATGGTCCAACACAACCTCGTGACAACATTTCCATTCTGTCTGACTACTGGAATCCGATACCTAGGTTTCCGATTGACAGGACACTTCGCAATGTTCGCAACCCCATTTCCAATATAGCGGAAATTCGACTAGTTCGCTGACTCTTTCACCTTTTCGCGTTCTGTCAGTCCACTGAACCGCTCAACTCTGTTGAAAGCGCAGTCGGGCCTTCATCTCTTGAAGATTAACAAAAGCTTATTGTTGGTACATCTTCCGTGATATTCGCCAGATTCTGGCCGATATTATGCAGCACTTCAATTTTCACTGAAGAGAAAACCTGTAAAGCGTTTCTTGTTGAAGATGTCGGTGAGAAGACGAGGCCATCCACTCTCACGATTTTTAAGGACGGGCCAGTATACACTTGTAAGGCTGTAATTTGTGGAGGGTCTCTTGATACATGCTCGACTGCGATAACGCTGAAAATCTTGATCATAACGCTTCCTATTTCATAATCAAAGAAAATTAACAAAACATATACAAATTATGACGAAGAGGAAACAAAACGTTTCCAAACTTTTGACACACCATTTACTTGAAAAAAAAATCATATTTTTCAATTATGATTTTCGATTCTGGAAATTGTGTTGCCATCGTATTAACACTTGATTTTGTACATAATATGTGAATTTGAGACAATTTGTTTATTGGCCGTGCTAGATCAAAAATAAAAAGGTTCCCAAATTTTTGACCGCGACTATATTTCAAAATAGGTCGGTAATATGGTATGGTTCCCTTTTTCAGAGTACTGTACAAAATTTTGTAACTAGAACACTGCATGTGTGTCTGCCAACAGGGTCTTGCCAAAGGATAATCGGAGCGATTAAGGGAAGCATGACATTTTGAAGAACAGCGGTGAATCTCCTGGCAATATTGTACTTTGCAGTGGTTGGTCCAAAGTGCAGAAACGTATTTTCAAATATAGTCAGTGAGGAGGCGACTCCTAGTTGATTATTCGCAGACACTAGGGTTCTGGAATTTTAGGAAATAAGTAAGGTATTGAACAGAAACTATACAAGAGGCGCTGACGTTAGGCGATGGCTGAGAAAATTGACCAAGGACACAGAAACATCAGAAGAAGCAACAGAGTGGTTCGGCTCTCAATCTATCAGCGGACAGCTGTCACAATCTGCGTGGCATCCTTGACCGAAAACTGCAGTGACCACAAACACAAAAGGAGAAATTCACATCACGATTTGCATGGAAAAATAGTGAATCTAGGACACAAAGCGTGCCTCTAAACTACTTGCAAATCTAGAGACACAAGCCGCACCGCAAGCTTCTTACGCCACTTGTGCTAGACAAAGAAAAACCGAGAGTACATCACACACTACGGCTGTCGTGCGGAAAAAGATGAAATATCGAAAAGGGAACCTTGTTTATACCACTGCTGTATCAGATTCGTGACGATGAACGGCGCATTCAGAATCAGCATCTCTAAAGTAGGAATTCGATTCGAGTAGATCTGAAGCGGAACACGGCCACAACGACGCGAGCACACAGCGCTGAACGAAAACACATCTGCCGCTAACATTATCATGCCTTCAGTGAACAGGTGTACTAAGTGCGCGAAGAAGGACGGTTGAAGAGGAACGATGAAGTGGATGAGAACATGATCTGGAGGAAGTAGAATTTGAATGCGAGAAGTTCTTCAAAACAACAACACCATTGCCAACCGCACGCGATGTGCTGCAGTCGCAATCAATGCGTTGCCCGACTCTGCCGCGGCCTCACTCTTTCGTTGTCAGTCGAAAAACAAGATGAAAGTAGTCGTCGAGTTAGCTGTACACACCTCACGTGCAAATTGACGTCCTGGTTCCCTCATCTCGTCAATCAATATATCAATGTTTCTGTAAAGAAAGACTCACTACTGCTGCAGCACGTTCCATCAGCCACAGTAACAATTGGAAATCAAAAGTGTTTTCCGAAGACGAATGTAGTGCTGAGTTCGAGAAAAAAGAACAAAACCACTGTTCCTAGCTTTCTCCATCCCAAACTTATGACTCCAATAAAATAGATCTGGCAAACAAAAGCGCTCAACAAAAGATCATGATCGTTGTCACTACATACAAAGACCAAGGGAACAACCATGGGCCGGATTCAATCCTCCCCCAAGGGGATGGTGGACGAAAATCCCTTTAAATTTATTTGTTTTTAACGATAGTTTCTTCATTTTCCAGTGCATGTTTACTTTGACCTACATACATACATTAAATGTAGGCCCTTTATCAGGACAATCCCAGTTGGGAAGACAGAGAAAATTTAAAGGGATTTTCGTCCCCAACCCCTTGGGGGAGGATTGAATCCGGCCCCTGTGGATGGAAAAACGTGGAACATGACGCGAGCGGGTGTGAAGCGCTGACTATAATTCTTGACGTACAACCTTGCGGCCCTAAGCGATGCTACGGAATATGGGCGAACTATTGCAACGATCAAGACATGGCTGGACCCTCACTGCAGAACAACGGCCAAATCATCACCTCGCCTTTCAGAAGGGTTACGGGGCAGTGGTCAACCATCCGCGCGCGTGAGAGTCCAGACAGAAAAGCACATACTTTCTGCTTTCTAGGACTAAGCCTTTTGAAGGAAGGGAAAGAAAGCAGAGACGCTGTAATAGTGTGCATATGCGAGAGTGCCCAGAGAACACTACAAAACGCTGAATCACCAAGACTTTCGGTTGACCGCTGCCCTTGGACGCTTCAAATGACCAGAAATTGTGCAATTGCAGAAATTGACGTGGCATTAACGTGGCATCGATTCAAGAACATCTTTGAGCACACGTGATGTCACCTTTTCATCGAGAATTTAGCCACGTGTGCCACGTGGATTTCTGGCTGCACGAAACAGACGTTTTAGTGACACCAAGAAGAGTGGCAGCTCTGCGTCCATGTACCCAGTTTTCAGTTTGTGCTAAACTGACGACATGTGAAGCAGTTGGCGTCACTTCCTGCTCGTAGGAGGCCCGTCTTCTCCATGTATCAGGATTCTCGTATTCAAGATTGTTTCCTATTACTTTTAGTCGAATTCCGGAAACAAGTATAGTTCAGTAAATAAAAATATTACGTGAAGTGGTGGCGCATATTTACTCACTCCTCGGAAACAGCTGAACTTCCTTGGGAATTTTTCCATAACTGAGAATTTGGCAACAAGGCGGTCTTCATGAGTATTTTAACCCATAGAACACGAAGATCACATCAATTTAGCGCAAGCTGGCGTCCGAGGTAAGCAAACCAGCCCTTTTGGCGTTTCGGCTGGGACCGTATGCTGAATGTTGGGGAGGGGATGGGTCCCCAACGGTCGACGGTTTACTTCAACTCGGTTGGTACGATAGGAGAGTACTGACGCAAGTGGGTACGATAGGAGAGTACTGACGCAAGTGGTGCAGCTGGTCCAGCAGCTCCGCCAGAAGGGCTGGTTTGCTCACCCCAGGACTAAGCCTTGGAGAGGGGACGGACCCGTCCTCTCTTTAAGGCTTAGTTCTGAGGTAAGCACCAAATTGTGGCGGTTCTAAGGACCGAGTTGAAGTGGTCCGTCCACCGTCGGGGACTCCATCCCCTCCCCAACATTCAGCATACGGTCCCAGCCGAAGCGCCAAAAGGGCTGGTTTGCTTACGTCCCTGGCGCCCGCCCTACAAGGGCCGAAGCTCAAAAGGCGCCAGAACACCTTGAATCATCAAATTCGCTGAAAACTTATCGTTAGGTGTAGTTTGACCAGAAGAACATGATTATCAAAACAGGTCATCGTAGGGGAGCTTGTAGCCCGCTTACGGGCGCCCGCGCAGAACCATATTAGTCGCGCCACCACCTCTAGCGCGAGCGCCAGCGTTTTCGCGCCAGAGTGGCGTGATATTCGTGTTCTACGGGTTGAAGTACCTCTAAGCGACAACTTTCTAGCCATTCCTTAGTCATGGACAATTTCGGTCAAAATCCGGTTCAGTTTTAGAGGAGTGGGGCAGCGAAAAGTAAATAGTTTTAGAGGGATGAAGACTGACACAGAAAAAAAAATATAAAAAGAAGATGCTGAGACTCCCTGCCTGTTCACGGCTGCCGCCAATGTGCTAGTGCGTCCTGCGACTGTGATTGCTCGAATCTCTATTAAATCGTTAGAAAAGCTTATCAGAAAACATAACACACATTGTAAAAGGAGAGAACAGCGCTATCGCCAGGTACGGAGGCATACTTCAGGACTAAGCCTAGGAGGGTGCAAAATTCCAGTCCCGGAGAAAATAATAATCGCCCACGCACTTTAAAGTCTGCTCCTCCGATTACGGCTTAGCATCATTTTCATGCACAAAGGAGAATTTACGTGGTTTGAGTGCATCGCCAGCACAGTGCCCCCGTATCTTGCAGTAGCGCGGAAAGATCTATAAGGCAGGAAGACATGATGTGAATCCTCGACTTTTCTCTCTGAAATTTAGACCGACGTCATAGTCGGCGACGGACCAAGCGATGGAGCGATCGCGATCGCTCCATCGCTTGTCCGTCGCCGACTATGACGTCGGTCTAGTAAGTTGGTTCTCCTGACATGAGGTTGAAAAGCTCCCGTGACACAATTTCGTCCGAGACAAAATCGAAAAAAAAACTTTTGCCGCCACAGCTCTACTAAGAGGCAACCTGTTTATTGAATGAAAGAAAAAGATTTTCACTTTTTTTATGGACAGTATGTCCACGCCCATCACTGATGGATATTAAGAGAAGACATTCAGAGCAGAATATGATGAAAACTACTAATATTTCATGACCGATAGCCGAATCTTAGAAAAACTGCGTTGTGAAGTCGTATTCCGACATGACTATTCGGCTAGCTATACATTTAGCCAGTTGTGCTCCTACCTAACGAATTGCTGCAGCTGACCATATAGAGCCAAAAATGTGGAGATAATTATCACATATGAAAAGGGATGCCAGAAGCGACAGAGACGTAAGCACTCGCCATAACATCTACCGAGTTGCATGACTGTGCCAAAAAGGGTGCACCTAACCGACGCCGCGCCAGGATTGTGCGCTGCGTGCTCGCTGCGAGATAGTCAGAACATTTGAATCTGCAATGTAGGATTAGGGAACGGCGGCGCATACATTTGTCGTGTGCTACTCGTCGAGCGATTACGCAACAATTGATTCCCAGCGTTCGCTTTGAGTGAGATCGGTGAACACACACACAGCGAGGTAGTATTTCCCTTCATGAGGATGGAAGAAGAGAAAAGGGGTCAACCTACTGAAGGGATGTCTCGTCTTACCCCCGAACTGCCTGCATTCCCATTGGCGCATGGATTTCTTGTTTTGCACTAAACGGCGCAAAAAAGGCGTGCACCGCGGCGACGACTGCTGCTCCCCTAACTACAACGGTCGACGGACTACTTCAACTCAGCCCTT